GCACATGCCTGTAGTCCCAGCTACTCCGGAGGCCGAGGCAGGAGAATCGCTTGCACCAAGGAGGCGGAGGTTGCAGTGAGTCGAGATCACGCCATTGCACTCCAGCCTGGGCGACAAGAGTGAGACTCAGTCTCAAAAAAAAAAAAAAAAAAAGAAAGAGACATTTTCTGTCTCTGTATAGAAGCCCAAAGTTTAAGAGCATATGACCAGGCTAGGCGCGGTGGCTCATGCCAGTAATCCGAGCTTTGGGAGGCTGAGGCAGGAACTCTGGAGGCCAAGTGTTCAAGACCAGCCTGGGTAACACAGCGAGACCCTGTCTCTATGAAAAAAGAGCAGATGACCAGCAAGGTCCCCCTGACCACTGAGGGGTCAGCAACACTGGGAATCAGTAGAATCCCACAGAGGGAATGGTGGGTGAGGGCTTTGCTCTGGCTGCAGTGTTGAAAGCCATCTCAGGTCAGCAGTGAACCCTGAGATCTGGGACAGCTGTCCAGGTCAGGCCTCACACCAGAAGGCAGATGAGAGCGGAGAGGAGCTGTCGGCTGGAAACCCTTGTCTTTAGGCATCTTGTTCCATGATGATACGTGTCCTCCCTAGGGCAGTTTGGGAGTTGCCTGCTGCCTTGGGAAATGGAAATGGAGCTATGGGGAAGCTGCTAAGGATAGTTTGGATGGGGTTTTGAAAAGCATGACAGCTTGTCCAGAGTGTTTGTTCTGGGGGCTTAAATAGTGTATATAGACCTTAATATCATTGTCATAACAGCCTTAATTGAGCATTTATGTGGGCATTGAGCACTTTATTTGTTTATTTATTTTTCGAGACAGGGTCTCACTTTATCACCCAGGTTGGAGTGCAGTGGTACAAACATGGCTCACTGCAGCCTTGATTTCCCGGGCTCAAGTGATCCTACCACCTCAGCCCGCTAAGTAGCTGGGACTACAGGTGCATGCCACCATGCTCAGCTAATTTTTATATTTTTTGTAGAGTTTTTGCCATGTTGCCCAGGCTTGTCTCGAACTCCTGAGCTCAAGTGGTCCGTCCGCCTTGGCCTCCCAAAATCCTGGGATCATAGGAGTGAGCCACTGTGCCTGGCATTGTGCACTTTATATTTTTTATAAATATGAACATGGACATAAGCATTTGCTCTTTGCTCAATCCTATGAAATTGGAACTACCATTATCCCATTTTACAGATGAGCAAACTGAGGTTCAGAGAAAGAAGAGCCTCACAGCTGGTTAAGGGGAAGCATTGGGGAGAGAAGCAGCAGGGTGGACACATGAGCAGGATGAGTGGGTGCTGGGGACACCATTGGGAACATGCCACAGCCCTTGCTTTTGTTTTTGAAAATAACTTTTCTCTGCATAGTGCCCATAGCCCAGGCACTGAAGTCAATGTCTTTTGCTCCTCATCCAGACTCAGTTGAGATTCAAGTCAGGCAAGTGGTAATGAGCCACTGTCCACCATCATTTCATTCCTCTGTCACTCATTCTTTCATCCACTCATTTGACACACATTCGCTGAGAACCTGAATTTGGGCTGGGCATGGTGGCTGAAGCCTGTAATCTCAGCATTTTGGGAGGCTGAGGCAGGAGGATCACTTGAGCCCCAGAGTTCGAGACCAGCCTAGGCAACATGGTAAGACTCTGCCTCTGCAAAAAATTTTAAAAATCAGCCAGGTGTGGTGGTGCACACCTGTAATCCTAGCTACCCTGGTGGCTGAGGTAGGAGGATCTCTTGAGCCCAGGAGTTTCAGGCTGCAGTGAGCTATGATTGCCCCACTGCACTTTAGCCTGGGTGACAAGGAGAGACCCTGTCTCTGGAAAAGAAAAAAAAAGAGAGAGAGAGAGAACCTGAATTTGGCTAGGCACTGCATTGAAATAATGAATGAGGCTGGGTCCCTGCCCAGGATCATTGCAACTGGATGGGCCCCTGAGCATCAGGATATCAGGAGATTGTCACCAGGCTATGTGTGGCTCACTCTGTACGTCCCCCATACCCATGTGATTGGTGTCCTGGGAACCTTCATTCTGCCATCAGCCTGGTGGAGATGGGAGGGGTCTTGGAATGACCTCTGGGGGCTGGAAACCTCATTGCCTGGTTCACTCACTGGGTGTTTGTTCCATAAACCCCAGCAGTCCTCTTCTGCCCGTGCAGGCCTTTCTCTTTGCTGGGCTGGTGCTCACAGCTCACCTTCTCAGTTTCCACTTCAATGTCTCTTGGGAGTGATTTTCCCTCCATCCCCATTGCAGATCCTCAGGGACCTGCTCTAGTTGGCAAATAAGCTCTCGCTCCCCCTAAACACCCATCCTTCCTTCCCACCTGCCTTCCTACATATTGTCATTATGGTGAAAAATATGCAAATAACTTTGAACAACAGTTTCCCAGCAGACGGGTGTTCAAAAATGTAATAAATTAACCCCATAATGTAATCTGGATCCCGTGACCATCCATCATGCTGATGCGATTAAGATATGCAAAACCAGATGCTGAGGAGCCCATGGATGGAGTGTTGGCAGAGCTCCCCGGATGGGCCCATGATGGGCCCATGCTGACTCGGCCCCCTGCCCCTGCTCCCACCCCCATGGAACCTGAGGCCATCAGAGGTTTAGGGAACATCTGTCTGGCCTGTTCATTTCACTAATGAGACTGAAGCCTTTTGGGGGTTTGGGGTCAGATCGGTTTGAATCCTTACCCATCTGCTTCCTAGCCCACCTTCCTTCTGTTTGTGATTGGATCTGAACCCAAGTCCCCAAACCCAGACCTTTTTTTTTTTTTTTGAGATGGAGTTTTTGCTCTTGTTGCCCAGGCTGGAGTGCAATGGTGCGATCTTGGATCTCGGCTCACCACAACCTCCGCCTCCCGGGTTCAAGCAATTCTCCTGCCTCAACTTCCCGAGTAGCTGGGATTACAGGCATGTGCCACCACGCCTGGCTAATTTTGTATTTTTAGTAGACACAGGGTTTCTCCATGTTGGTCAGGTTGATCTCGAACTCCTGACCTCAGGTGATCTGCCCGCCTCAGCCTCCCAAAGTGTGGGGATTACAGGCATGAGCCACCCACCGTGCCCAGCTGACATTTTTTTTTAATTGCAATAATTTTGGGTTACACGGATAAGTTCTTTAGTGGTGACTGCTGAGATTTTGGTGCACCCGTCACCTGAGCAGTGTAGACTGTACCCAATACGTAGTCTTTTGTCCCTCACCTCCCCACCCTTCCCCTAGAGTCCCCAAAGTTCAATATATCATTCCTATGCCTTTGCATCCCCATAGGTTAACTCCCACTTACAAGTGAGAACGTACGATATTTGCAAACCCAGATATTTTTACCCACAGGTTTCTAGTTGACAAGGTGGGTACCCCAGTGTCAAAAGCTGTTGGGACCTCAGTTTCCCCAAGGAAAAATGAGGGTTGAGTTTATGTCCTTCAAGGTTTTTCTCACGTTCTTAGCTCTGTGTGTCAGGAATTCTATGGGTGGCTTGTATTGTGTCTTCTCGGGGCAGAGGGCTGGGGCTGGGAGTCCATGGACGGAGGGCCTGACTTGAGCCCCAGTGCCCCTCACACTGTGTCCTGAAGGCCATCCCACAGGAGTCACCTGGCTCTCAGTTTCCCCAACCCAGGCCCCAGTCTGAAGGGCTCCTTTGCAAAGAGTTGCCCCCTATGACTGCCACTGCCTGTCACTGATACAGAAGCTGCTTAAGCAGCCTCCAGAGAGGGAAAGGAAAGACCCTTGTTTTTCCCAAGTTCTGCAGTGAGTCAATCTCAGGGAACCACAGGACACTGTCTATAAGCCACTGAGCTGCTTGGCCAGTTCTGTGTGGAAATGGCATGATGTGGGCAGGATCCCCACGTCTTGAGAAGGGTTGCTGTGGCCAGAACGTGCTGCTGCCAAATGCACCAGTTCCTAAAACAAAATCATCCGTCCCTTTGGACGGATGATTTTACATCACAGGTTTACAAAATGCATCACTTTTTTTTTTTTTTTTTTTTTTTTTGAGACGGAGTCTCACTGTGTAGCCCAGGCTGGAGTGCAGTGGCTGGATCTTAGCTCACTGCAAGCTCCGCCTCCCGGGTTCACGCCATTCTCCTGCCTCAGCCTCCCGACTAGCTGGGACTACAGGCGCCCGCCACCTCGCCCGGCTAGTTTTTTGTATTTTTTAGTAAAGACGGGGTTTCACCGTGTTAGCCAGGATGGTCTTGATCTCCTGACCTCGTGATCCACCCGTCTCGGCCTCCCAAAGTGCTGGGATTACAGGCTTGAGCCACCGCGCCCGGCTGCATCACATTTTTACAAAATGCAGATATTCTCTGGGAACAGTCCAAACCTCTGTGGCGATTCCGACACTTTGCTGGGCATCCGGGCCCCTGGGGAGCTTGTTAAAGGGCCAGTGCCCTGCTGTGCACCCCACCTCGATCAGGTTGCTCACAGGTTGCTCGGGGCAGCAGGGCAGCTGTGATTAATGGGCTCCTGGGGGATTCTGATGCAGATTTCCTAGGACTGCATTTGAAGAAATGTTTTGCTGACATTCCTAGCTTAATGGGTTACTTACAAGTTACTTTTTCTCTCCCCATTAGAAGTCTGGAAATGCAGGTTTGAAGGCATCAGGGGGTCGGGGGAGGGATCCGGGTCTCCTATAATGAGCTGTAAATGATAAACAAGCCTGGCTAGATCTGTGTCCAAACAGACGGATGGGATTAACAAGCTCGTACCTCCCTGGAGGTCGCAGACAAAGTCCTCTTGGCTTCTGGTCCTGACTTGTTGCCCACTAACTCCGTAGCTGCTTCTCAGATCTTAGTTTTCTCAGTTGTAAAATAAGGGGGCTGTAAATAAGTGGAAGCCCTGGTGTGAGAAGAGGCATCAGAGCTAGGTTTGTATTCCCACTGTGTGATTTTGGCGAATTAGAGAACGTTTCTGGGCCTGTTTAACCATCTGTAAAGTGGGACTGTAAAGTGGAGATTTAGCTGCTAGGGTTAAGGAGGGAATTAAAGGAATCAGTGTTTGACACATAAGAAGCACTCGATGCTAGTCATTTTTTATTATTTTAATTAATATCATCTCTGAGGGCCCTTTCAGGACTTCCAGACGGAGTCCACGTCCGTGGGGGACTTCGGAGCAGTAAAAGGTAGTGGCAGGAGGCACCTCGGCCATCGCCCACCCCACTAGCTGGGAGACTCGGGCAGGTTATTCACCCTTCTGCACCTCGCTTCACTCATCTGTATAAAGGGAACAGTCACAGTAACTGCCTCATGGAGTTACTCCGGGGACTTAGATAATCCAGTGACACACGTAGCCCAGTGCCCAGCACTCGGCTGGAGCTCCATAAAGGTCAGCTATTGTTCTGAAGCGTAGGGCGGGGAGAGTTCATCCTGTTGGGCCGTCAGGCCAGGCTGTATTTAGGTACCCGGTGGGGGCGGGGCGGGGGCGGCGCCGGTGCACGCCCTCTTTTTTTTATTTTTAAAATTTCACCCGGGTCTTGACAACCGGTGCAACCCTGTCCTCCCCTGTTCCCGCCCCCGAGCCAGAGGAGCCTCTTTTAGGTGGGCAACTGCAGAGATGGTGACTCGGGTTAGCTCAGATGTGGCTGCCCTTAGTCCCCAGCTGCGCCCTCCCCTTTGCCCTCCCCAGCAACCCCTACCCGCCCTCTTCCGGCGCGTGCTAAAGCGAGAGAAACGCCCTCGGGGGAAGATATGTAGCAATCCGATGGAACTTGGAGATCAACGTTGTGTTTTCTTCGCGCCCACCTGAAGTCGAAGGGAGGTGGAGCGGCGGGTCTCAGCCCCTCCCCGACGCGGAAACCCGGCCTCCGTCCCCCGGAGCCCAGTCCCCACAGGCGGAACCGCCCTGTGCGAGCGAGGCCGGGTTTGGACTGCGCGGGAATGGGCGTGGCCTGGGCGGGGCGGGCGCTAGGACCCGCCGGAGCGCCGTGAACGTCACCCAGCGGCGCCGAGGCCCCGGGTTGAGCGGGAGGCGCGATCGGTCCGGTCGGTGGCTCCCCGCGGCGGGGCCGGGCCCGATCTCGGGCGGGAACCGAGCCCAGAGCCGGTACTGGGGGAGGGAGAGGGGGCGGATTCCCGCCGGGAGGGATCCGGCCGGGCAGGGGGCGGAGTCTTATTCCAGCGCAGCTTTGCTTTCCGCGTGTCCCGCTTTGCACTGCCGGCCCTGCGCATCCAGCTGTTTCCCTCTGCGTCCGCGGCCCTGCCCTTTTCGGGGGCACGGCTGTGATCTTTCCACCCCCCGAGACAGCGGAGCGAGGGGGCGCGGGCGGCCAGTGGATAGAGACTGATGCCCCCAAGCACGGACGCCAGCGTCGGGTTGGGGGTTCTTCCCAGCTGCTCTGAGCCTGTGCGAAGCGGGAGGTCATGCCCCAGTTCCCACGGACTGTGGGGAGGGAAGAGACGGTGGAGGCGAGCGGGTTCTGGGCTCCTGGGTGTCTGGAACTACCCTCTGCCCTTGCCCCACCACTCAGGTAGCGGGAAGGATGACCACGCTCACACGACAAGACCTCAACTTTGGCCAAGGTAGGGAGGCTGGACCTGCGGGGTCGGGGGCGGGGGCGTCTGGGCTGGCGGGCTTCCCCGAGCGCACCACCTGCTTGTGCCCCCTGCAGTGGTGGCTGATGTGCTCTGCGAGTTCCTGGAGGTGGCTGTGCATCTCATCCTCTACGTGCGCGAGGTCTACCCTGTGGGCATCTTCCAGAAACGCAAGAAGTACAACGTGCCGGTCCAGGTGAGTCACGTCCCAGAACCACAGCTTGGGTACAGGGTGGACTTTTAAGAACTCTTCAAGGCCGGGCGCGGTGGCTCAAGTCTGTAATCCCAGCACTTTGGGAGGCCGAGACGGGCGGATCACGAGGTCAGGAGATCGAGACCATCCTGGCTAACACGGTGAAACCCCGTCTCTACTGAAAAATACAAGAAAAAAAAAACTAGCCGGGCGAGGTGGCAGGCGCCTGTAGTCCCAGCTACTCGGGAGGCTGAGGCAGGAGAATGGCGTGAACCCGGGAGGCGGAGCTTGCAGTGAGCCGTGACCCGGTGTCACTGCACTCCAGCCTGGGCGACAGCGGGAGACTCTGTCTCAAAAAAAAAAAAAAAAAAAAAAAAAAAAAGAACTCTTCGGTCGGGTGTGGTGGCTCACGCCTGTAATCCTGGCACTTTGGGAGGCCGAGGCGGGCGGATCACTTCAGGTCAGGAGTTCGAGACCAGCCTGACAAACCATGGTGAAACCCCATCTCTACTAAAAATACAAAAATTGGCTGGGCGTGGTGGCTAACGCCTGTAATCCCAGATACTCAGGAGGCTGAGGCAGGAGAATCGCTTGAACCTGGGAGGCGGAGGTTGCAGTGAGCCAAGATTGTGCCACTGCATTCCAGCCTGGGTGACAAGAGCGAAACTCCGTCTCAAAAAAAAAAAAAAACCTCTTCCACTTCAGGCCAAGCCAGCACTTTATTTTTTATTTTATTTTATTTTTTGAGACTGAGTCTTGCTGTGTGGCCCTGCCTGGAGTGCAGTTACATGATCTTGGCTCACTGCAACTTCCACCTCCCGGGTTCAAGCGATTCTCCTGCCTCAGCCTCCCAAGTAGCTGGGGATTAAAGGCGTGTGCCACCACACCTGGCTAATTTTTGTATTTTCAGTAGAGACAAGGTTTCGCCGTGTTGGCCAGGCTGGTATTGAACTCCTGACCTCCAGTGATCCGTCTGCCTTGGCCTCCCGAAGTGGTGGGATTACAGGCATGAGCACTTTATTACGAAATAGATTTTGTGTTAGATAATGTTGCCCAACTGTGGGCTAATGTAAGTGTTTTGAGTGTGTTTGGGTAGGCCTGGCTATGATGTTCTGTATGTTACATGTATTAATTGCATTTTCCACTGGCGATATTTGATGGCTTTATCCAAACAAACAACAACAAACCCATAGTATCCGAACAACAACAAACCCATAGTAAGTTGTTGAAGGCCACCTTTAGAGGGAAAAGGAAAAAAAAAATTGACATTTACTCACTTTTTCTTTATGATGAAGTGATTGAAGCTCAGAGAAGTTAAGGAATTTGCCTGAGGCCACACAGTTCCTTAGTTCTTAACTTTTGAAATCTGATTACGTTTTTCTGGATCCTTTTTCTGGAAAAATGCCCACGTGCACAAAGATACAACTTTAGGGACTTTTCAGACTCTGGAGGAGTCCATGGACCCCACATTAAGAACCCCTGATGATATACTAAATGCTCGTATTATTTTTAGTAGAGACGGGGTTTTGCCATTTTGGCCAGGCTGGTCTGAAACTCCTGACCTCAGGCGATCCACCCACCTTATCCTCTCAAAGTGCCAGGATTATAGGAGTGAGCCACTGCGCCCAGCCTGAGTTCTTATCTTCTAACTTCTTTCTCCATAGATAAATTCACAGTTGTTAGCCTCTGGAGGGAAAGTGGGGTCTTCTGGGTAGGGGGCCCTGGAGAGCTGCTGGGCCTCTGACCGAAGGCAGACAGGGCCTTGGGCTCCTGGTCGTGTTGGATGGTTTCCCCATCTGTGCTTTGGGCCTCACCAGCCACTTGGTGTTGTGTGCAGATGTCCTGCCACCCGGAGCTGAATCAGTATATCCAGGACACGCTGCACTGCGTCAAGCCACTCTTGGAGAAGGTGAGGGTGCACTGGGCTCCGCAGCCACCTCACCCACTGCTCACCCCTGCCCCTCTATGCTCACAGTCCAACTCTGGGATGGGGTGATGCTAGGACTCTGTGGCGTCTTCATGGCTCCAATACCCAGAAGCCTGTTCCCTGCACTCTGGAGACCATCCCAACCCAGGGGCAGGCTCCAAGGCATGTGGGCCATGTTCAGGGTGCCTTGGGCCTGGGAACCTGGGTTGAAGCTGGCTGTGAGTAGGGACTGCCCTGGTGGGTTCTGGGTTCTTCTCACATCCGTTCCCTGTTCTCCACGCTAAACATTGTGTCTGAGCTGAACCCCTCAGGGTTTCTTCCCCATCTAGTCCTGATCTCAGACTTCCTGGGACCTTCCCTATGGGGCCTGGTTATTCCCTCAGCCTGCACTGCTCATACCGGAGGGTGCCAGCTTCTCAAACCCGAGCTATCTGGGCTCTTGGGGACGCCCAGCCTAGCAGCTGAGCAGGGCTGTGAGTGGGCCGCTTCCCCTCCTTCCTTGGGCAAGGGGGTGGAGGCGGGGTGGTGGAGTGGGGGTGGGGTGCCTGGGTCTGCAGTGGGGGTTCCTCTCCTTGCAGAATGATGTGGAGAAAGTGGTGGTGGTGATTTTGGATAAAGAGCACCGCCCAGTGGAGAAATTCGTCTTTGAGATCACCCAGCCTCCACTGCTGTCCATCAGGTGGGCTGCCCCTGCCCCTCGCCCACTAGCTGGCAGCAGGCCTGTCTCTGGCAACACACCCACCCCTTTAAGGCGGCCCTTGAATACCTTGGAAAAGGCCTGGGGGGAGAAAGGGCAAGATGCGCCAGCCTGACAAGGGGACAGCCTGTAAGCAGCTGAGATGGGTCCAGAGAAATGACATGAGCTACCCAGGGTCACCTGGCTAGGGGCAGAGCCCAGGACACAGAACCAGTTTTCTGTCCAGTCAACTCAAAGTTGACCTCTGGCACATGTGTTAGTTGGTCAACTGCATGCTTCCGATGGTGAGGTCAGGGCACTGGAATCTATGACCAACCTGTCCCCACAGGCTGCGTGGCCTTAGGCAAGCCCTTTCCCCTCCTGGCTTGGTGTCCTGGTTCTTGGGCCTGGCTGCACATTAAAACCACCTAGGGAGGCCTCCTCAGATCGCCCCTATCTCCCCTGCCCCCCGCCAAATTCTGACTTTGTCTGGGTTGGGGCTGGGCATTTGTTGTAAACTCCCTTGCTGGTTTGAATTGTGTGGACAGGATAGGGAGCTGGGTCCTAGGCATGCAGCACTCTCAGAGGCACTGGAGGGGGTTCTGTACCCCAGGTCTGCATCCAGGCTTGATGCCTGGGGTGGAGGGGAGGGCGCCAGTGTGATGGGAAGACCTCCTCTCCTCTCAGCTCAGACTCCCTGCTGTCTCACGTGGAGCAGCTGCTCCGAGCCTTCATCCTGAAGATCAGCGTGTGTGATGCCGTCCTGGACCACAACCCCCCAGGTGTGTTCCCTCCCCACCCTCTCTTCCCTTGGCGTTTCCACGGTTGTCTCGGGTTGGTCTGTGTTCCCAGGTCCATGTTTGGCTGCTCTGAGACTCATCTCTTCCTAACCCTGAGAGTCCACCTCCTCTGGGAAGCTTCCCTGATTGATTCCACCTGGCTTCCATCTCCCTATTGACTGGGGCTTTTCTTAGCACTTGCTTTGCCATCTGCTCTGGGGGTGCTGCCGAGCCAGCAAGGGAAGTGGGAAGAGGCTGGGCCCAGTGGCAGGCACCAGGGCGGCGGGGGAGCCTCCACCAACCTCTTGCCTCTCCAGGCTGTACCTTCACAGTCCTAGTGCACACAAGAGAAGCCGCCACTCGCAACATGGAGAAGATCCAGGTCATCAAGGTGAGATGAGACGGGTCTGGGTCTGGGTGCAGCCTCTAGAAACGTGATGCGGCAGTTTCAGGCAGGCAGGGGCGTCGCCTGTGGCCAGCCATCCATTATATTGGTGCAGCAGTGCCTGGTACCCAGCAGGTCCTCAGGCCTGGCCACTGCTCCACCTGGGCACTTGGGGCAGTGAGGAGCTCAGGTGGAGCCACCTGCTGGGGCCCCCAGCTCATCCTGGCTCTTCTGAAGTGGGGGCTCTTCAGGGAGGGGTCCTGGCCCATCAGATTCAGCATTGGTACCTGGGGCTTGTCACTTGGGTTCTATGGACTTGGCCTCTGTGGGGGATGGGGGGGCCTGGGGTCTGCATCACCAACAGCTTCCTAGTGATTCTGAGGCTCAGGTTGGAGGCCCCTGGTCTGGAGTGGGAGGGACAGCAAAGTGAGGGCAGGCAAGGGCCCAGTTCCGTCACCCCCCTGACCTTTGTCCCCTCCCTAGGATTTCCCCTGGATCCTGGCGGATGAGCAGGATGTCCACATGCATGACCCCCGTCTGATACCACTAAAAACCATGACGTCGGACATTTTAAAGGTGAGCTTCGTGGGGACCTGGGAAGCTTTATTTAGGGGCTGCTTAGGAAGTGAGGCCCGGCACTGAGGCCTTACTAGAGGGCTTGGGGGAGAGAACGAGGGAATGTCTGGTGGAGGGCTCCTCCCGTCTCTACTCTTCTCCACCTCGGCTATGGCCACGAGGCCCCACCCTTGGCAGAGATCTGCCCACCAGGTGCTTCTGTGTCCTCCAGCAGGGATGCCCTGGCTGTCTCGCTGACTGTGGCTGTTTGTTTATGGTCGTCAGATGCAGCTTTACGTGGAAGAGCGTGCTCACAAAGGCAGCTGAGGGGGCATCTGCCACCTCGCTGATGCCCGAACTGTCAGACTTTGGGGGATCCCTGCCTGGGGCAGTGCTGCATGGCTGCCCTGATTCCAAGTGCTCTTATCGCCTCTGTGTGTGGATCACCCGCCCCAGCCCGGGGCCGCTCAGGTCTGCTTGGAGGATGCCTCCCCCAGGAGGCAGTGAAGGATGCCGCAACCTCGACTTCTCAGCCTCCTGGGGTTCTGCCGGCCAACACTGTCTGTCTCAAATACTGTGCTGTGAGTTCTTTCAATAAAGGGGCCCCAAGGGCTGGGCTGAGCTGATGCCATCATTAACCAGAGTGGGAGGGACAGGTATGGCCAGGGGAAAACCTGGTGGGGGGGGTGCTGCTTCTCCACCAAAATGCCAGGGACCCCCTCTCCCCACTCCTAAAACCAACCCCAGGCTGATTTTACTGAAAACATGTATTTTTTATTTTTTAATATTTATTTATTTATTTATTTATTTATTTATTTATTTATTATTATTATTATTATTTGAGACAGAGTCTCGCTCTGTCGCCCAGGCTGGAGTGCAGTGGCGTGATCTCGGCTCACTGCAAGCTCCGCCTCCCAGGTTCACACCAGTCTCCCGCCTCAGCCTCCCAAGTAGCTGGGACTACAGGCACCTGCCACCACGTTAATTTTTTGTATTTTTAGTAGAGATGGGATTTCACCATGTTGGCCAGGATGGTCTCGATCTCCTGACCTCGTGATCTGCCCGCCTTGGCCTCCCAAAGTGCTGGGATTACAGGCGTGAGCCACTGTGCCCAGCCTGAAAACATTTATTAAAACAAAACGTCAGAGCTATGTGACAGTAAGTTTCCACAAGCTGGTAGGGTTGAACCGGGGCAGGAGTCGCTGGTACAGGGACTTCACTGCCCACCCCATGCTCAGCTCCTGCATGGAGGAACCTCTGGCTGACCCGGATACAGTATGGACAGCTGTCAGAAAATCTGGAGAACAGCTTGGTAGGGCGATTGGGCAGCCTCCTCCTGTCCATGCTTCTGCCCAGGCTGAGCCTCGGAGGAGGCCTGGGTCCTGGTCCTCTTGTGGCTGACGACGATGCTGCTGTTGGTGACTCGGGGCCCATACCAGCCTGCCCAGTACTGGGTGTCACTGCCCCCGTGCTGAAAGAGGATGTAGCGGACACCCCGGGGGTAGTCTGAGAAGGTGTAGGAGACCTGCCGGGAGGAGGGGACAGGAAGTGACCACCAGGACTGGGGAGGGGAAGGCACGAGCCAGGTCCTCTAAGAGAGCTGCCCAGGCGGGAAGGCAACAGCTCCAGGCCAGAGAGCAGGGGCACCTTGGGCCCTGAGGCTGCCCCTTGCTTCCTGCCATCCTGGCCCTGGGAGGAGTGGGTAGAGAGAGCAAGTGGGTGAGGCCTCACCTCTGTCCATGCAGCATTGTTCCACTGTTGGATGGTCACAGGTGGGGGCTCGAAGGAGGCCAATACGAAGTAGTCAGCTGAGGTCAGCTGCACCTTGAGTTGGTAGGTGCAGCCACAGTCGGCTCTGGCAGCAAACCTGGTGGAGGGGTTGAGAGCCCTGTGTCCAAGCCACCGAGGGCTGGCCCCAGCACTGGGGGCAGGGGGAACCTACACATTGGAGCTTGGAGCTTTGTTTCCCATCAGCCAACACTGCTCTGCCTGCTAGGCCCAGCTGGCTTCAGCGCTCCCTATGCCCCACTGTAGCCTGGGGGTAAGCAGTTGGTCCATGCTGGCCTCAGTTACCCCATCTGAGAAAAGGGACCCTTTCGGGCATCCTACTAAAGATGTGACCTCAAAAAGCAAAAGATCCCTCCAGAGAGGCCTGGTCTGTCCAAGCCACGTCACCTGTACTTACAACGGACCAGGCTGTGGATTCAGTGGGAGAGTCAAGGGGGTAGCCTGTGTAATGGGGCTGGCACAGAGCTCACCTTCTGCTCAGCCCAGCCCAGCCACCTCTCCCCTCTGCAGCTCTGCATACTCTTCCATCCTCGCCCATTTATCCTCAGAGTGGCGGCCCTGGGGTCTGCCTAGAACTGGGGTCCTGCTTCTGCCACTGGCCAAGCCAGAGCCTGGCACACTTCTGTGCACAGAGTAGGAGCTCGAAAAAGAGTCATGGGATGAATAGGAAAAGGACCCGGGGAGGCAGGTAGGTCAGGGGACCTGAGGGTTTCCACCCAGTCCAGAGAGGGCTGAGGTCCTCTGTTGTCCGAGTGCCTGTCAGTGTTGACCGGGCACAGTGGCTCACGCCTGTAATCCCAGCACTTTGGGAGGCCAAGGTGGGTGGATCACTTGAGGTCAGGAGTTTGAAACTAGCCTGACCAGCATGGTGAAACTCCATCTGTATTAAAATGATTTAAAAAATAGCTGGGCGTAGTGGTGGGCAACTGTAATCCCAGCTACTCGGGAGGCTGAGGCAGGAGAATCGCTTGAACGTGGGAGGTGGAGGTTGCAGTGAGCCAAGATCGCGCCACTGCACTCCAGCCTGGGTGAAAGAGCAAGACTCTCAAAAAAAAAAAGTGCCTGTCCATGACAACCCACCGGGGGGCCTCAGCCTCCTCATCTGCACACTGGCGCTGCTGTGTCCTGCTGACTCCGTCACAGGGTGGTGGGGAGGCCAGGAGGTGCCGCAGGGTCTGGGCACAGCGGGGGCAGAGGCCGGGGCTACCTGGCTGTAGGACACTGCTGGGCACAGTGGGCACTTGCTGTGGCTTGTCTCACCCGGCACAGCAGTAAGAGGAGCATGTAGAGTGGGGGACACAGGCCATGGACCTTACTCACCAGTCCTTAACCACGATGTCCGGCCGGAATGTGTCCAGTAGCTCCTCCCAGTAGCCCTCAGCTACAAGGTCCACCAGCTGGGACTTGAGGCACATTCTGGGGAGCAGAGTTGGGGGCTTGCGTACCTGGGTGTGCTATGCATGGCCCCCCCTCGCCCAAGCCTTGGCAGCCCCTGTGAGCCCAGGGAGGTGGTCTGGGGACTTAGGGTATCCTTTGGCCGCCGCAGGACAGGCACTGGCTGGGGCTGACTGGTTTCTCCTCCAGTGTAGGAGGGAGTCTGACCCACTTGTGCCTGGGTGGCATCTGATTCCAGTCCAAAGGCCTAGTGTTCCAGGGCACCAGGCAGGGCACTCTTGTAAACTCAAGTTCCTAGCTTAGGGATGGATGCCTGTAGATAGCCCTGGCTTATCTTAACCACCCAATGGACTCTTGGCCTGCTTCAGTGATCCCCACCCCCACTGTCCATGAACACAGCACTGAGTGACTCCAGGAAGCAGTGACTCTGGGCAAGTTTTGGGGCCACCTCCCTTGAGCTTCACAGAGAGGCCTTCCCTTAGAAGACTTTGCCTGAGACTTGGCAAAGGTGTCCTAACCCTCTGTCCCCTCCATGCAAGCCTGGTAGGTTCAGTTTGCCTTACTCATAGGATGTGACAAAATACTTCTTGACTTTGGGGTCAGGAAAATCTGTCCCGTGGGCTCCAGGGAGGCTCTCCACCTTCCAGCGGTCCCCACCATTGAAATCGATTTGCCAAGCAAACATATCCTCTAGGAAGAACAGAAGCCGAGGTGAGACCCGCTGTGTAAATCCAAAATACAGCCCTCCCCACCTGGTCCTGGGAGGGCGGGAGGGAGGGTGGTTGGCGTTAGTGACCTTCTTGGGAGGCAGGACTTGCTCATGCTCAGGTTTCTGGGGCTGTGGACACCAAAGGGTTAACAAGCTTGTTCCTTCTCAAGGGCACTGTGTAGCCAAGGTACCCCATCAGCCCAAGTATACCCCAACTGCACCCTGGAGCACCCCTCCAACACATTCCCACCTGTCTTCACCATATCAGCTCTGACCTGACTCTGTCCCTCCCACACAGTCCCAAACTGGCCTCACTCCTAACACACAGCTGGAGAAAATGCATGTTACCAGAAATTCTAAACTAACCCCTTCCTCACTTCCATGTTGCGGTGGAACTCTGGGAAATACCCAAGTATCAGTTCTCAAAAAATGAAATTACGAGGGGCCTATGAGAGTACTGTCCTCAAAGACTAATGTGAGGCCAGGCACAGTGGCTTGGTCTGTAATCCCAGCACTTTGGGAGGCTGAGGCAGGTGGATCGCTTGAATCCAGGAGTTCAAGACCAGCCTAGGGAACATAGCGACACCCTTTTTTTTTTTTTTTTTTTAAATAAGTAAAATAATTTTTTAAAAAAGGCTAACAAGTGTTCATCCCAACACAGACTGCTTACTTGACCCAGATGGCACCCCAGATGTCCAGGAGGGAGAGGCCATTGGTTAACGACATAACCCAGATTGGAGGCCCTAGAGGATGGGTTTGTGGGTGGCCATGGGAACGAAGATTCCCATAGGGCCCAGATGGCCCAGGGCAAGAGTGCTAAGTGGAGGAACTGGTACCCTTTGGGCTGGGCGGTGTGGTAACATTCATGGGTGGACTTCCATTAGGTGGGCCTGGTGGGTTCAGGGGGGCGATCACCCTCTTCACACTGAACTTAGAGGACCTTAGAAAACAAGGGCGCTTCTCTACTGGCGCTGCCCAGGCAATCACTGGGGCACTTCTCAAATGGCTTGCTCCCCCTCCAGAAGCCCGCTATTCTCACGTGCTCTGGGGTCCCCAGTAGAGAACCAGAGGAGTAATACAGAAATCCACGAGCTGGGCTGACGCTGAGTACAGACCTGGGGGTATCTCAGCAAGGCTTGACTGAACACTGCCGGCCCCGGGCAGGCCAGGCTGCAAGGCCAGCTCCGTTAGGCGGTGTTAAGCCAAGTGGGCAGCTTAGCTGGGCAGCTTCTGAATGAAATCCGGGGCAGGCAGAGGGACTGAGTGTCGAGCGCTGTCTATGGGGGCTCTGGGATTTGGGGTGGGGGGAATTTGAGGCCTTTATCTGTCAGGACCAAACCCTGGAAGCTGGGCAATTGTGCATCTTTGGGGAAGTCACTCATCTTGGGCCCAAAGCTCGCCATCTATACAATGGAGTCCACCCTAATTGTCTTGGCATCTCCCAGGTTCCTGTGTGTGTGTGTAAGAGAGAGAAAGAGAGAGAGAGAGAGAGAGAGACCCTCTGTCACTCAGGCTGCTGGAGTGCAGTGGCGCGATCTCAGCTCACTGCAACCTCCGCTTCCCAGGACCTCCGCTTCCCAGGTTCAAGTGGTGCTCCTGCCTCAGCCTCCCAAGTAGTTGGGATTACAGGTGCCCACCACCATGCCCAGCTGATTTGTGTATTTTTTGGTAGAGGGTTTTACCATGTTGGCTTTTACCAGGGTTTTACCATGTTGGCCAGGCTGGTCTCGAACTCCTGACCTCAAGTGATCTGCCTGCCTTGGCCTCCCAAAGTGCTGGGATTATAGGCATGAGCCACCGTGCCTGGCCTATTTGTTTTATTTTTAAATTATTTTTTTCAGAGACAGGGTCTCACTCTGTTTCCCAGGCTGGAGTGCAGTGGCACAATCTTGGCTCACTTCAACCTCCACCTCCTGGGTTCAAGCGATTCTCCTGCTTCAGCCTCCTGAGGAGTTGAGATTACAGGTGCCTGCCACCATGCCTGGCTAATTTTTTTGTATTTTTATAGAGATGGAGTTTCACCATGTTGTCCAGGCTGGTCTTGAACACCTGACCTCAAGTAATTGCCCATCTCAGCCTCCCAAAGTGCTGGGATTACAGGTATGAGCCACTGCACCTGGCCAATCTCCCTGGATCCTAATGAGGATGAAGAGAATACAGAGATAGCAAGGAGGTTCTAAGTACACAAACCAGGTCTCCAAATCAGTTGCTGCTGGAGTCCCAACAGGAAGTATGGTGTGTCCGGGGTGGATGGTGGCTCATGCCTATAATTCCAGCACTTTGGGAGGCTGAGGCAGGCGGATCATTTGAGCCCAGGAGTTCGAGACCAGTCTGGGCAACATGGTGAGACCCTGTCTCTAATTAAAAAATATATATATGGGAAGCGTGGTGCCTGGTACATAGCAGGTACCAAATGAAGGAAGGGAAAAGGGAAAAAAATCCCTGGGAAATACAAGAGAATGTAACAGGCTAAGTGGAGACCTTCAGCTGTGATCACAGGCCCCTCTGGATCCTCATTTTGTTTGTATAATGGGGCTAACAGGAGGATGGGTAAGTACATTTGTAAAGATCTCCCATGAATACCTGGCACAGACGAGGCCCTTGGTCAACATGAGGCAGCTTGGGCTGTACTCTGGGGGACAGGTGGGTCTGCAGTGTGCTTGTTCATTCAACGAGCATTTCTTGGGCACCTGCTATGTGCAGGTGTCACTGTGGATGCTATAGTGTAGCAAACAATGTCCATTTGGCCACTGGAACTTGAAGTTTGTGGCAGAAAAAAATATGGAAATTCTGAAAAAAAAACTTTTTTTGGAGACTAAGTTTCACTCTTGTCGCCCAGGCTGGAGTGCAGTGGAGTCATCCCAGCTCACTGCAACCTCTGCCTCCCAGGTTCAAGCGATGCTCCTGCCTCAGCCTCCCGAGCAGCTGGGATTCTAGGTGTGGGTCAGCATGCCCAACTTCGTGTGTTTTTAGTAGAGACAGGGCTTCGCCATTTTGACCAGGCTGGTCTTCAACTCCTTACCTCAGGTGATCCGCCCATCTCAGCCTCCCAAAGTGTTGGGATTACAGGCGTGAGCCCCCGCGCCTGGTGAAAAATGTTACAGGGCATGAAATGGAGGTGCTATGCTGGAGGTGGAGAGTGCTGTTTTTAGATTGGGAGCACAGGGCAGGTCTCTGAACTGAGGCCTGAAGAATGAGAAGGAACCAAGGGAGTGAGGTGGGTGTTTAGGATTAGAGAACATTCCAGGTAGTGTGGGAATCACAAGTGCCAAGGCCCAAGGATGGGAAGGATGGGAAGGAACGAGCCCGGTGGTGGCCTCCACCCTGCCCCCATGCCACCTTCAGCGCACGGGTTGCGCAGGAGGTTCCTGTGCAGGCTCCGTAGGAAGTAGAAGATCTTCCAGTCGGCCACGGGCTGGTCCCAGTCCTCGGTGATGAAGCCCTCTCGAAGGCACTTGCGCTTCCAGAGGGTCATGAGGTCGATGAGATCCCGCCAGAGGCTGCAGACCAGGCGGCAGTTCAGCAGCAGGTGGCGGGCGGGCACGTGCGTGAACAGCTCCAGCAGGATGTTCTCGGGCAGCTCGTTAATGCTGTCCAGGGCTGCCTTGGGGTGGGGAGCATCCATGGCCTGTGGGGGGGGACAGCGGTTATGAGCCTGACCAGGGAGGTGGGCCCTCAGGTCCCCAGGGAACTAGGCCAGGGACTCCTCTCCAACCCTGCATTAGCCAGGTGTGGTGGCACACTCGTGGAGTCCCAGCTAGTTGGGAGGCGGAAGCAGAGGCTGAGCCTGGGAGTTCAAGGCTACAGTGAGCTATGATTGCGCCACTGCATCCCTGCCCGGGCAACTGAGCAAGAACCTGGCTCAAAAACAAAAACAAAAAAACCACAAAAGAGCATTTCGGAGGCTGAGGGTCCTTCCAGTAAACAGTAGCCCCTCAGTGGAAAGAGTAGTCATGGGACCCACATTCAGAAGAGTGCAAAACAAGTAGGAAAGTCTTTAGAGACACATATTTTAAAAGGCCCCTCCCCAATTTAAGAAAAAATTGCTTAATTTTAAAGCCAGTGGTTTGGGTGGACTGTAAGATTTTGTGGAGGCCACACTTATCTGCAAAGTTCTGTGAGGGTTTTGGTGATTGTTGTTATTTTAATGCTCTGGATTCACTGTCAGAATATATCTTTTTTTTTTTTTTTTTTGAGACAGTCTTGCTCTGTTGCCCAGGCTGGAGTGCAGTGGTGCGATCTCGGCTCACTGCAACCTCCGCCTCCTGGGTTCAAGCGATTCTCCTGCCTCAGCCTCCCGAGTAGCTGGGACTATAGGTGCCCACTACCACGCCCAGCTAATTTTTTTGTATTTTTAGTAGAGACAAGGTTTCACCGTGTTAGCCAGGATGGTCTCCATCTCCTGACCCCGTGATCCACCCGCCTTGGCCTCCCAAAGTGCTGGAATTACAGGTGTGAGCCACCGCGCCTGGCCAGAATATAAAATCAGTTTTATGAATGTTCATTCAGTGGTTGGCGAGCGCTAAGAAACCACCTGCCTCTCTCCAGAAGCTCACTTTGGCCTGGAAGTCAGATGTGATCAAACAACCCCATGGGAAGCCCCCACAGCACCCGGCTGGGCTGCCTTGGGTGTCAGGCCAGAATCTACTTGGAGATGGCCGGAAAACAAAAATCAGATGGAGGGTGCCTGAGAAGACTGCCTGGGTTTGAATCCTGCTCTGCAGTGACCAGTTGGGAAGCTGTGGAAAGGAGGCGGTAACTGTCCTGACCCTGGAAGGGCCAGGAGAACCAAGTGAAGCACAGATCTTCGGTCAGCATTGCTGCCAGCACAAACCTGCCCTCAACACTGTCCCCCCTGTACCTCTGCACTGCACGCGGGTTCTGGAAAACTTCAAGCAGTGCCACAGCCCTGGCCTGAATCTGTTACCTGGGGGCACCTATTAGTCCCCTAAGGGGATCCCAGGTACTTGCCCCAGTAGGTGGGGGTTGGCCAGCAGCCAGGGCTCTGCCCTGTCACTCAGGTGGGCCTCATCTGCTTACACATGAGGAGAGAATGTTCTCCACCTACAAGCAGGGAAACAGAAACTTGCGGGCCTCTTTTTTTTTTTTCCCTCCCCCACCCCCGAGACAGAGTTTCGCTCTTGTTGCCCAGGCTGGAGTGCAGTGGTGGGATCTCAGCTCACTGCAATCTCCACCTCCTGGGTTCGAGCAATTCTCCAGCCTCAGCTTTCCAAGTAACTGTGATTACAGGTGTCCGCCACCACACCCCGCTAATTTTTTATTTTTAGTAGAGATGGGGTTTCACCATGTTGGCCAGGCTGGTTTTGAACTCCTGACCTCAGGTGATCCACCCGCCTCGGCCTCCCAAAGTGCTGGGATTACAGGCGTAAACCACTGCTCCCGGCCTTTTGCTGTGGCCTCCTGATTTTCCACAGAGGCTTGGCCATAGCAGCAGTTCATAGTCTTCTGAAAGCTCCCATCCCAGAAAACCGGAGGGTGGGTGTATGCTGGCTCCTGCCCGGGGAGGAACACTTTACATGGCAGAGAAAACAGGTGAGGTACTTGTGCCTCGTGAAAAATGCTTTGCAAGCTGGGAGCGGTGGCTCAAGTCTGTAATCCCAGCACTTTGGGAGGCCAAGGTGGGCGGATCAGGAGGGCAGAAGTTCGAGACCAGCCTGGCCAACATAGTGAAACCTCGTCTCTACTAAAAATACAAAAAATTAGCCAGGTTTGGTGGTGTGTGCCTGTAATCCCAGCTACTTGGGAGGCTGAGATAGGAGAATCATGTGAACCCGGGAGGCAGAGGTTGTAGTGAGCCGAGATTGCACCATTGCACTCCAGCCTGGGTGACAGTGCAAGACACGCCTCCAAATAAAAAACAAAAAAGAAAAGAAAAAAGGCTTTGCAACCTTGGTAACACAGGGAGACCCTGTCTCTATAAATAGTGAAAAAATTCGCCGGGCATAGTGGCGAGTGCCTGTGGTCCTAGCTACTTGGGAGGCTATGGTGTTAAGATCGCCTGAGCCCAGGAGGTCAAGGCTGCAGTAGCTCACAGGCGTGAGCCACCAAACCCGGCCCCTCAGAGGTTTTCTAACTTAGAGTCCATGAGGCCTGCTGAGGTCACACTCTAGGGAAAGAAGGAGCCCGCTGGAGCAGAGTGAGCCATGATTCCTCCACGGCATTCCAGCCTGGGCAAGAGCAAAACTGTCAAAAAGAGAAAGGCTTTGATAGGGAAAAAAACCCCAAAAAACTCAATGTGGCCAAGTCTTCTAAGTTATGAGAAGCAAATGTAAGCATTCGAAAAAAAATGTAAAACCTGTCAATTAAAAATGCCTGTAGTCTGGGCAACATAGTGAGACACTGTCTCTAGAAGAAAAGAAATTAGGTTGGGGGCGGGGACTCATGCCTGTAATTCCAGCACTTTGGTAGGCCGAGGTGGGCAGATCACAAGGTGGGGAGTTCAAGACCAGCCTGGGTAATATGGTGAAACTCCATCTCTATAAAAATACAAAAATTAGTTGAGTGTGGTGTCGTGTGCCCGTAGTCCCAGCTACTCGGGACGGTGAGGCAGGAGAATTGCTTGAACCCGGGAAGTGGAGGTTGCAGTGAGCTGAGATTGCACCACTGCACTACAGCCTGGGCAACACAGTGAGACTGTCTCAAAAAAAAAAAAAAAAAGAAGAAGAAAAGAAATTGGCTAGACCTGGTGGCCCGTGCCTATAGTCCCTGCTACTCAGGAGGCTGAGGCAGGAGAATGGCTTGAGCCCAGGAAGTGGAGGCTGCAGTGAGCTGTGACCATGCCACTGCACTCCGGCCTGGGTGACAGAGCAAGACTGCCTAAAATAAATAAATAAATAAATAAACGCTGGCAACTTCTAAAGTCACTGTCTAGACTCTAGACCAAATAAAAGTCACTGGGCTCCAAGCTAGAGGCGTTTAGGCACCAATAGCTTCCTACCGTGGTGACTGAAGTCTGGTCTCTGGCCCAGTCCGCATTTTCTTGCGCCCCTTCCCCGCCCCCACACGGGGCATTTTGTGGTGGGGAAGTCCATGCCAGCCCTAGGAAGCCCTCACACCGATCGGGTTCCCCAACTGCCCGGCCCGGCGTCTCGTGCTGGCCTTCACCGCACCCACCCTCCCAGCAAGCTCTCGGGGCACTCTTACTTCACCGGTTTCTCGGAAACAGAAACCGTGGCTGGGGAAAGGCAGGCGCCGGATCTCGCAGGCGCGTGGGGGCCTGGAGGTCCCCTGACAGTTCTCCGAATCCGGCAATGGCCTCGGGATGTGGCCGGGGTGGAGGCGGCCGCAGAGCCTCCGCTCAGGTGGCCCCGGGGCCAGGCCCCCAGTCCGGACCCAGCGGCCCGCGCCCCCCAGCCCTGGACGCCCGGACCAGCGCCCGCAGGCTCCGTGAACGCCCAGGCGCCTGAGACCCCGGCTCCCCACTCGCCCGCCGCCCGTCCCCCCGGGGCCGCAACCTGGAAGCAGCGGCGGAGCTCCGGGTCGGCCCGAGCCTACGGCCTCGGCGGCGTCGTCGCTGGGCCCCGCCCGGCCCCGCCGCCGCGTCACGCGCTGCGCTCGGTCTCCACCCCCGCCCCGGACCCCGCTGCCGTCCCTCTCGGCCCGGCCCCGCACCTTCGCCGCGGGAAGACTAACCTGAGGTCCCTGGGGCCCGGGCCCTCGCTGCGGCCTGCGTGTCCTGAAGCTTAGTCTCCCCCTCCAGGCGGCGGGCGGCTCAGCACCCACACCTGCACCCCCCTCCTCTGCAAGGCAAAAGTCCCTGAACGCTAGGCAGCTCACCGGACCTCCGCACTAGTTCCTTCCTTACGGGACCCAGGGCTCCACCCTTGACCCTCGGTTCACTCCCTAGAGGGAGGAGCTGACACCCAGCAGGCTCCTTCTTTCCCTAGGGCGTGACCTCCGCAGGTAACAACCTGAGGGGCTGGGAGGTGGCTAACGCCTGTGATCCCAGCACTTTGGGAGGCCGAGGTGGGGAAGGTTGCTTTAGGTCAGGAGTTCGAGACCAGCCTAGCCAACATGGCAAAAAACCTGTCTCTACTAAAAATACAAAAATTAGCAGGGCATGGTGGCGCATGGCTGTAATCCCAGCTCCTCCGAAGGCTGAGGTGGGAGAATCGCTTGAACCTGGGAGGCTGCAGTGAGCCAAGACTGCACCACTGCACTGCAGGCTGGGCAACAGAGCCAGACCTTGTCTCAAAATTGTCAGGATTAAGGTCATGAATTTCTTCCATCAGTCAACAAATAATTAGCAAGCACCTTGTTCAGGCAACCACCAAGGGTTGTGCAGGCTGTGCACTGCACAAGGGGACTGGCCCAGGCCACATTAATTGCAGTCAGGGCTACATCTTCTCCATGGAAGGCCGTCCTTTTGCAGTTTCTCATGGGCTGGTGGATGGTGATCCTGCCTTGGCCAAAGCCCTTATCTAGCTCACCCTTGATTGAGATAGCTAAATGTAAGGAGTATTTATTAAGTGCTGTATTAGTCCATGTTCATACTGCTATAAAAAAATACTCGAGACTGGAATTTATAAAGGAAAGAGGTTTAATTGACTTACAGTTTCATATGGCTGGGGAGGCCTCAAGAAACAATCATGGTGGAAGGTGAAGCGGAAGCACATGGCAGCAGGAGGGAGCCAGGGAAACTGTCACTTGTAAAACCATCAGATCTCGTGAGAACTCACTCACTATCATGAGAACAGCATGGGGAAAACCGACCCCATAATCCAGTCACTTCCCACCAGGTCTTTCCCTAAACACCCAGGATTACCATTCAAGATGAGGTGTGGGTGGGGACACAAGGCTTAACCATATCAAGCACCAGCTGTGTGCCAGGCACCATTCTAAATGCTTCGGCTTCATCCAATGTTAGTAAAGCTCTTGGCAAAGAATAACACCAGGAGGCAGAGCCTGGGTGGCACTGCTGATTTGGCACAAGGTGGACTCAGGGGCTGCTCAGAGATGTCCACACACCCCAACCCCAGCCTGTGGCTGGGCCTCCAGAGGAAGCCAGCAGTACTGGACGGCTGCCAGGTGAGACACCTGCAGCTCACTGAGGGGTCTGTCCCATGAACCTGCTTCTGTGATGGTCCGGTTCCTGAAATGCTGACCCCTCTGTACCTTAGGCAGAAGCCACACCATTGTACCATCTGCAGGTCCCGGCGGGACCACCTAAAGCCTGCCTTTCCTTCCAGAAACCACAGGGCACAGGTTAGGCTGGGCACACCTTTTATTTGACTGCATGCAGTAGGGCGAGGTCAGGAGAACACTGCTGTCCTTCCAGCAGGACAAGAGGCAAGTTCCAAGGGTGGCTGGGTGGGAGACAGAGGTCTTGGGAATGCCAGTTCTAGGGGCGGGGTGGCGGCTTGGAATGCTCTCCAAGCCACAGGGGGTCTGGCCTGGATTTGGGAGGTGGGCAGGGGATCCTTCAAACACCCTACCACACTCATCCAGGGCTCATGTGTCCAGCTGTCAGAGCGGGTCCCAACCCTGCTCCCCACCTACCCTGGGACATCCTGTGCAGGATTCCCTCAGTCCTCTGGGAACCTGACCCCCACCTGGCACCCATCTAGCTTCTGGGCTCTACTGATAGTGAGGACAGTCCACACCTGACCTGGACCCCACTCCACCCTGGGTCTGCCCATCTCAGACCGGGCCTGAGCCTCTGGGCCAAAGCCACCTCTTCTGAGCAGGCAGGCAGAGTAAGAGACTGGGAGCAGCAGACAGGGGCAAAGCATGGCCCACGAGCCCACCGTCCACTTCCCAGACTGGTCTGAGTTACATGGTCACCTCCCTGCACCATCAGGGCAGCTGCAAGCTTGTCAGATGTCTTGCCTGTCCCTGCTCTGAGGGTCAAAGAACACAGAATGGTCCCAGGAGGGGAAGGGAGAGACAGATCCAGGCTGGCCTCCAAGCTTGACTTTCTGGGGGGCCCAGGGGAACACGCCGCACCTCCCACATCTCAGGTGCTCCGTCTCTGAAAGAGGCCCATGCAGGCTTCCTCACCCATCATTCAGGTCAAGACCTTTTGGGGAGAACTGGCCCCCACCCCAGCATGTGAGGGCTGCCCACGCTGAGAGGCTCCACAAAGAAGAGGCAGCTGGGGGCAAGGGTCAGAGGTCTGGGGACGCCTGGCCTCCACCTCCCCTTCCCAAGCCCAGCCGTTTTCTGACAGCAGTTGTTTACCAGTCAGGGTTCAGCAGATGGGGGCTCAGGGGGCGTCAGGGCAGCGGGGGCCCGATGGTGATGCTGCTGTTGGTGACCCTCGGGCCGTACCAGCCGGCCCAGTAATGAGTGTCCACGCCGCCGTGCTGAAACCAGATGTAGCGGACGCCGGGCGGGTAGTTGGAGAATGTGTGGGAGACCTGGCGGGGCAGGTAGAGGAGGGAGAAAGGTCAAGGGAGCTGACTCAGGCTGGGTGTGGCGGTTCACACCGGGAATCCTAGTACTTTGGGAGGCCGAGCTGGGAGGGTTGTTTGAGCCCAGGAGTTTGCGACCAGTTTGGTTGCAAACCAGAGATAGTGAGATACCATCTCTACAAGGAAAAAAAAAAAAATTAGCCAGGCATGGTGATGTGTGCCTGTACTTCCAGGCAGGCTGAGGCAAGAGGAGTACAGGCTAAGGTAGGAGTTCAAGACTGCAGTGAGCTGTGATCACGCCACTGCACTCCAGCCTGGACAACAGAGTGAGACCCTGTCTCTAAAAAACAAAAGAAATAAAAGAAAATGAGCCTTAAAAAAAAAGGGTGGGAGCTGACCCTGAGTGTGGCACTGCCTGAGGGGGGCAGGGGAACAAGGAAGTGGCTGAGTTCTCGGTGCCAGTCTAGAAATCAGTGGAGTTCTAGTTTGAGCTCTGTGATTTGGGACAGATCATTTCCTTTCTCTGTGCCTCAGTTTCCTCATCTATAAAATGGAGCAAAATCCTGCTGGTCCACTCCACAGGTTTATCATTCAGCCCAAAGGAATGGAAAGAAACTGCAAGCTGCCAAAGGATGTCCAATATGCTCATCACAGGGCACATATATTATTTAAGCTAAAATTAAGTAAAATTGCCGTGCGCGGTGGCTCACGCCTGTAATCCCAGCACTTTGGCAGGCTGGGGTGGGTGGATCACCTGAGGTTGGGAGTTCGAGACCAGCCTGACCAACATGGAGAAACCCCATCTCTACTAAAAATACAAAATTAGCTGGTGTGGTGGCGCATGCCTGTAATCCCAGCTGCTCAGGAGGCTGAGGCAGGAGAATCACTTGAACCTGGGAGGTGGAGGTTGTAGTGAGCTGAGATCACGCCACTGCACTCCAGCCTGGGCGACAGAGTGAGACTCCATCTCAACTTGAACCCGGGAGGTGGAGGTTGCAGTGAGCTGAGATCGGCCTGCATCCAGCCCTGGGCATGCTTGACCTGAAAGGTCCCAAAAAATTTGTACCTTAGATGAAAATCATAGCATCAGCCTGTGTATTAAAATTAGATGAAAAAAAATTCAGGTACTCAGCTGTACTAGAAACTGGCTCTTACTAACTGTTCAGTGGTCACATGTAGCTACTGACTACTTTATGGATAGTGTAGACACAGACCATTTCTATCACTACAGAAAGTTCTATCGGACAGGGCTGGGGTTGGCAAACGATGACCTGCAGGCCCACTGCCTGTTTTTATAAATAAAGTTTTACTGGAACAGAGCCATGTCCATTCGTTTACCTATTGTCTAGAGCTGTTTTCACACAACAACAGCAGAGTTAGAGAGTTGAGTAATTGTGACAAAGACAGTGTGACCTGCAAAGCCTAAAATATTCATGTCTGCCATTTTAAGAAAACATTTGCTAGGGCTGGGCACAGTGGCTCATGCCTGTAGTCCCAGCACTTTGGGAGTTTGAGGCAGAAGGATGACTTGAGGCCAGAAGTGCAAGACCAGCCTGGGCAACAAAGCAAAACTCTATCTCTACAAAAAAAAAAAGAAAAAAAATTTTTTTTGAGACGGAGTCTTGCTCTGTCGCCCAGGCTGGAGTACAGTGGCCGGATCTCAGCTCACTGCAAGCTCCGCCTCCCAGGCTCACGCCATTCTCCTGGCTCAGCCTCCCGAGTAGCTGGGACTACAGGCGCCCGCCACCTCGCCCGACTAGTTTTTTGTATTTTTTTTTAGTAGAGACGGGGTTTCACCGTGTTAGCCAGGATGGTCTCGATCTCCTGACCTCGTGATCCGCCCGTCTCGGTCTCCCAAAGTGCTGGGATTACAGGCTTGAGCCACCACGCCTGGCCAAAAAAGTTTTTTTAATTAGTGGTGGTGCGCACCTGTACTCCCAGCTGCTCAGGAGGCTGAGGCAGGAGGATGGCTTGAGCCTAAGAATTTGAGTCTGCAGTGAGCTATGAATGCGCCAGCCTGGGTGACAGAGACCCTGTCCCTAAAA